CTGAATCTCCAAGCCTTAATAGTAGTCTGATTCTAGATTCTTATGCACTGTAAGCAATTTTTACTAGTTATTTTAGTTAGTGGTATTCACTAGAACTCAATGTTCTGTACTTCTAGTCTTACTTTAACTGACAATCAATGGACTGACTTAGAGGAATACATGGTAGTAGACTTATCAAACTTGGAGCTCTTCACCTCCGGGATGGCAGTGTTTAATCTAACATATCTTCTTAGTGTTGTTAATCTTTTGATTTGTTGACTTCTCTGATACATAATAGGAATCCGGATCTTCTCATAACTTTATTAATAAGATGTCCATTTATAGGTTTAGACAATAGTGTTTATGATTTCACCTTAAAAAGATGAGATTGAAAAATTATCTTAACTCTGTTTTAATGTGCTTCTTGAAGGTTATAGCTGCATAAAATCAAGAAGTAGAAAGCTTTTTTCTGTTGGCATGGGGCAAAATGTAATTTGAAACACCCATATCAATTAAGATAATTATTTAGGTTTCCTTGGTCACATTTTACTTATAACTTGTGAATTAGATTATTAGCAGTTATCTTTTGCATTTTGAGAGTGCTTGTTGAAATTTGATGGACAAAGCAAATGGATTGCTCTGGACTGGCATCTTCCTCCTTGTTCAGTTTGCGTTTGTTACTCCTTGGTCCTTTGCAAGGTTTTCTGTTGTGATGGTAGACACTACGTTTGATTTTATTTTAACAGTATTAACATTCTTTCAATTATTTGCTTTTCCATCTCTGTTTAGAAACATTTCTGGAGCTTTTGGAGCCGTACATTCTAAAGGACATGCTTGGATCTCTACCCCCTGAGGTATTACTTAATGTTCAATGTGTAGCCTTAGATTATGTGATGATTTTATATGTGGTGATTTTTCATCCTGCGGACCTCTTAGATTATGCAAGCACTGGTGGAGCATTATAGCAGCAAAGGATGGTTACAACGAGTTGAACAATGTGTCCTTCACATGGACATTTCTTCCTTGGATTTCAATCAGGTTATATCTTGTCTACAATTTAAGCTCCTTTATAATTTTTATTTAAAATGTATTTCAAAAAGATAATGTTTATTTAAATGCTTTACACCATGCTTTTAGATGAGCTTTTTTTTCAATCAAGATTTTACACCTTGCTTTTAGTTGAACTGATTTTATTTACTATAGTTCCATATACCTTTGAAAGTGATTGATATTTTTCTTTATATTATAGGTTGTCAGGTTATGCAGGGAGCATGGATTGTATGGTGCTTTAGTATATCTTTTCAATAAAGGGTTGGATGATTTCAGGGCACCTTTGGAAGAGCTATTGGTTGTGTTGCGAAATAGTCATGGAGAAAGTGCCGTAGCCCTTGGGTATGTTGCATCTAGATACGTGACTTCTGTTCTAATTAGTAGAACTTTTAGAACTAAAATTCTAAATAGTTTCAATTTTATGTGACTATTTGTTTTTGTTTTGGTTTTTTTTTTTTTGCTTTTTAACTATCAGTCTGTTCAGTTTGGTCAGAATGACAGTTCATACTTTTTGTATGGAACTTTCTGGCAGGGATGCTTGTGTCTGTTTTGGAGATTTACTAGGCAAAAGTACATTACATCATAAAACTCTGCTATGATGAATGTCAGAAATTAAGGCGCATGAACACATCCTTTTAGTTTTCATTTATTACATTTATATGTTTGTACTTGTAGTCATAAAAGAATACAAAATTTAGAACAAATAATGGTAGAATCATAATTATCTAAATCACAGAGAAATAGATGGAAACATGAGGAAGAAAATAGATAGAGAGAAGACGGGATAAAGTTAACGATTGTGGAGGGACAAAAGAAGGATATTTTGGCAGTTTTAAAGGACAAAGAGAGAAATCTTCTCAAACATGAAAAACAGAAAAAAAATAACAAAGAGAGAAAAATACTAGGTAGAAATATGAAAATACTTTCACTAGAAAATTATCGAACTTAACATAAGTTTTTGATTAGAAGCCTTTTATGTAGGTTCTAATCTTAAGTAAAAAGGAAAACAACTATCGAGAATGATGTCGTGTGTTTATTCTTAAATAATATGGCTTTATGTATACAAGTTCTTTAGAGAAAGAAAAGAAAGCGACAATTAATTACATAAGGTGCATTTTACCACAAAGTCCTTTAATTTAATTCACCTATATTAATTACATATAAAATACATCCTTTAATACTCCCCCTCTATTGCCCAGCTTGGCAATAATAGTTTGAAATGCTGGGTTATTCAGCTTTTGAGCCATACGTCTGCAAGTAGTGAGTTGGTAGACATGTAGGCTATAAATATCAGACTAATATCTAGCTTCCCTTTAATGAAATGTTTATTAACTTCAAAATATTTTGTCATGTCCTGTTGTATTGGATTGTGAGCAGTACTTATAGATGGCTTGTCACAGTAGAGACTCATGAGCCCATTCCATTTAATTCTTAGATCTTTTAGGATCATCTTCAACTATAGTAGTTTACATACTTCTGGTGTCATTGCTCAAAAGTTTGATTTCACACTCCATCTTGCGACTACATTGTGCTTATTAGTTCTCCATGTAACCAAATTATCCCAAAAAAATAAAATAATTTATAGTAGATCTTCTCCTATTATTGACCCTGCATGCGCCAAATATAAGTTTTGAGCAGTAACTTGTCATTTCTTTTGAACATGATACTTTTCTCGGGTGTTATCTTCAAGTAATGTAGTACTTTGTAGGTTGCCTGTAAGTATATATCTTTAGAGTGGTACGTGAATTGACTTATAACACTTACTGCATATGCTATGTTTGGTCTTTTGTGTGACAGGTATGTCAATCTTCCAACTAGTTTCTAATACATCTCCTTACATGCTTTTGTATCTTCTTTTGCTAGTCCTAATTTGTGGTTGTGATCAATAAGAGTACTAGCAGGTTTACATGCCAACTTACTTGTATTCTTCTTGCTATGAGATGAAGATTCTTGATTTTGAGTGAACAATTTCAATTATAAAGAAATATTTCAGCTACATCAAAGGGCAAAAAGAGAAGTGCTCTCTCTCTCTCTCTCTCTCTCTGTCTCTCTCTGTCTCATCCCCTCTTGACTGCAACAGATTCCCGTCTTCCTCTACTACATCTAATCCAAATCTCTACCACCTTGAACCCTAACTAGCGGGGAGGAGAGCTTCTCTCCCAGCCACTGACCCACCTCCGACCCACTTTGAAATCACAATAATTACCTCCAAAAAAGTTTTTCTGGTAGATAGAAAATCATTTCACATTACATATGGCGGAAAGAACCTTGAGGGTCTCCGCATCAGTGAACACGGCAGGGGCTTCAGTAGGTCCATAGCTCTAAACAAGCAAGAAGTTAAATGGCTAGTAGATGTGTTGAGTGATTTTTATTGGCTAAAAGGAGGAGCAACCTGGTGGAGAAATTTCAAGGGCTCCTCACACAGAATCTGGCTTGGCCTAAGCTGGAACTGGTATGGTCGTTTTTTGGTTATGACCGAGGAAAATGGTAAGTCGACCAAACAGTTGTTTATCCCGGAAGGCACAGAAGCTGGTGGATGGTGGTGCTTCATGAAGTCTGTCTTCAAAATGGCCGATGTCTCTTTGGCGAACCTAGTCGAAAACAAGGTGGCCATTATTCCTAACCCATCGTCTAACCCAGCTCCTGACAGAGTTCAAGTTTGCTCCTTGCTTCTGAAATACCCACACTGCAATCACGGGTTTAGGGTCTTGGCTGAAAGCAAAGGGAATAAATCTTTTGCTGAAGCTCTTAGCACGAACTTGGCTTCTACCAACCGGTCAAAGTCGGGTGCTGCTGACCCACCAAAAATTCGGGTAAAGAAGATAACTCCTGACCCGACTCCCGCTCGAAATAATTTTGAAATTCAAAAGCTGAAGTCTGGTGATGCCTCTAAAAAACCTGAGCCCAAATTTAAGCCCAAATATAGTTGGTTTGAAAAAGGAAAGTGGGTTAACCAGGCTAGTCCAAGTGGTGCAAGGAAAAAAATTTTAAGCCCAAAAAAAAGGAGCCCAAGGGTGTTATGGAAGTGGAGACCCAAAAGGATAAACCCGACCTGAGCGCCTGATCCAAATATAAAAATCTCCTCCCCCACATGGTGAGTCCTCTTAGGGCAATTTTCATTGTGCCCGTAGAGGCTGAATGCGCTTCGGGAGCAGACGAGACTTTAATTGAGCAGAAGAACAAAGATATGGCAGCGGGTTTTCTTCAACATGTTAGTTGAGATTTAACCCTAGGTAAGCGACTTGATCCTTGTCTAAACAACAAACTTTTACTGGGGTCTCAACAGTCAGGAACAAATTTGGCGTTACATCTGGCTGTGGTGCAAAACGATGAGTCGGAAGACCCACCAAAGGAAGCAGCAAGTGTCCTCACTGAAGTCCCACTTATACCAGAATGGTCTCCGATTATTGCAGAATCCTACTCTCATTGGGTTATGAAAAATATTCTGGGCATCAGCAAATCACTGGGTGTTACATTTGAGGGTTGTGAAGATCAATCTTTGTCAATTTTCTCCGAGCTTGATAACAGAATGAGTGGAAGGATTTCCAGCTCTGAGGGGAACACTTCAAAACTTAAAAAGCTAACAGGAGGGGCCAGAGAACTGAAAAGATTGCAATGCACAGTGAACTATGACAACAGAAGCAAAAAGAATAAGGGTGTTGGGGGAGTTTTTGAAAATTGTCAATGATAGGAAAAATTATTTCATGGAACGTCAGGGGAATTAATGATGCAGGGAAGAGGAAGATTCTCAGAGGTTGCCTTGGAAGATGGAATCCCATCATTGTCTATTTACAGGAAACTAAAATGGAGATTCTCAGTGATTTCACTGTCAAAAGCTTATGGAAGGCCGACGGGGTGGAATGGAAGTTCTTACCATCTAAGGGTTTTGCTGGGGGCATTCTCCTTATGTGGAAGAGGGATTGGGTGACTTGTATGGATGTTAAAATTGGTGAGATCACAATTTCTTGCCTTTTTTCTAACAATAACAACACCACTACGTGGTTTTTTTCTGGTGTATATTGCAGAGGCAATGATACGGAAAGAACATTGCTCTGGCAAGAATTGAACCAGTGTTTCAACTGCTGGGGTAGGAATGGAATCATTGGAGGGGATTTTAATACTGTTATCAGAAGATCTGAAAGATCCGGGACTCAGTTTAATGCAACACTGGCTAATGAGTTTCTTGTTAACATGGAAAATCTTGATCTAGGGGATCTTCCATTAAAAGGAAGTAATTGGACCTGGAGTGATCAAAGAGACCCACCTACTTTCTCCAGGATTGACAGATTTCTGGTATCTGCAGATTTGCTCCTTATCCTCCCAGGTTTTTAAATCAAATGATTCTACCTAGACCCACCTAAGACCATTTTCCAATTTGTCTGGTTACTGACGGCATTCACTGGGGTCCAATCCCTTTCAGGATCAATAACAAATGGATCCAAGATAGTAAATTCAAAGAGTTGATGAACAGAACAATGGAATTGTTATCCTGGCAGGGGGGCAACTAGCTTCATCCTGGCCAAGAAATTAAAGGCGCTCAAATCTACCATAAAGGAATGGGCCAAGGTTGCAGAAATTAACAAGGATAACAATACTATAACAATATTAAGGATTATCTGTATGAAATTGGAGAACTGGACAGAATCGAGGGACATGCCGGTTTGACGCTGGAAGAAAAAGATAAGAGAGATTTGCTCAAAATCAATTTGGCTAATTGTATGCATAGGGAAGCAGTATCTTGGAAGCAAAAATCAAGAGAAAAGTGGCTTAAAGAAGGTGACCGGAATACCAAATACTTACATTGTTTGGCCAACCATAGAAGAAGAATCAATTATGTTGAAGAAATTGAAGTTGATGGGATCTGTATTAAAGGCAATGATAATATGAGAGATTGTGCCACGTCTTACTTCAAAAGGCTGTATGTGGAAGAGATAGAATGCAAACCTAAATTAAATGGTCTGCGGTTTGCTCGCTTAGACACTTTGGACAAGCTGCAGTTGGAAGCTGAGTTTACAGAAGCTGAAATTCATAGCTGCCTCAAGGAATGTAATGGGGATAAAGTTCCCGGACTGGATGACTTCAATTTTAAATTTCTACAACTTTACTGGGAGGTTCTCAAAATTGATATTCTAGACTTTTTCAATGACTTTCACAAAAATGGCTCCATGGTTAGATCTTTGAACTCCACTTTCATTGTCATGATCCCCAAAAAAGCAGGAGCTAAAAACATCAAAGATTTTCACCCAATAAGCCTATTAGGATGTATTTACAAGCTTCTCTCAAAAGTCCTATCTAAGAGGTTATCAAATTTCCTTCATAAGATCATTAGTGCAAGTCAGTTG